TGCTCAAAATACATTAGGTCTGAAACGATTCCTCGAATCATTCGAGGGCCTCGATTACTAAAAATCCTCGAGGCAAATTTATCTTCCTCGAATCTTCGTTAAACCATTCAGAGCACTCTATCCTGATGCATGCTCAATAATCCAGGTAGAAAAATCCAAAAAAGTTCAATCTGGTCCTCTGGACATTCAAAAATGTTTCCAAATATCTGGCGTCTGTACTCATCCCTTTAGTTGGCAGCTCAGAACACCACATACAGAACACCATGGACTTTGTGGATAAGGTGTGGGATGTCATCATGGAGACTGATGAAACAATGGTCTCTTTTGATGTCACATCACTCTTTACGTGCATTCCTGTTGATGATGCAGTAGAGGTGGTCAGTTTAAGATTAAAATCAGACACCACTCTGAGCAGCAGGACCACATTTTCCACAGAACAACTGTGTCAACTCTTGAAACTGTGCCTGCAGTCAACCTACTTCACATATGGGGAGCAATATTATAGGCAGAAACATGGGTGTGCTATGGGGTCTCCAGTTTCTCCTATTGTTGCCAACCTGTACATGGAGGAGGTAGAAAAGAGAGCCTTGACGTCCTTTTCAGGGACACCACCAAGTCATTGGTTCAGGTATGTTGACGACACCTGGGTTAAAATTAAATCTCAGGAAGTCCAACATTTTACTGACCACATCAACTCTGTGGATAAATACATCAAGTTCACACGAGAAGATGTAAAAAATGGCAGGTTGGCTTTCTTGGACTGTGAGGTCTCAGTCTCTGATAGAGGACATTTGCAAACTGAGGTGTACCGCAAACCCACCCACACAGACCAGTATTTGCAGTTTGACTCCCATCACCCTTTGGAGCACAAGTTAGGAGTCATCAGGACTCTGTACCACAGAGCAGACAGCGTCCCCACTAGCTCAGGAGCCAGGCAGAAGGAGAAATCCCACACAAGACAGGCTCTAGAGCAATGTGGATATCCTAACTGGGCCTTCCTGAAAGAAGAAACCCAAACAGGACTGCAGTCAGCCAACAGGTGAAAAGGATGTCTGTCAATGTCTGGCATCCGATTCGATTCCGATTTTTGGTGTCAAGATACGATTCGGAATAGATTTTCGGCTCGGAAACTATTTTTCTATTGAAATGGTTATAAATTTTGTTTCAATTATAATATATATGTAACTGACAAGCTGAAAACATTAAACAACAATGTAAACCAATAGAACATTTATTTAAAAATAATTTTTGGTTCCTTACTGTATCAAATATTTTTTATTCATTTTATATTTTTACCAAAAATAGGAAAAATAGAGAGCATAAAATTTTGTAACTTAAATTACCAGTATTAGGTTAGTTTAGTTGCCTGAATTAAAAA